ATATTTAATTATAGTCCTATGAATTGAAAAGTAGGTCATGGTGACCTACTTTTCAGTCGACCTACTCCGAGGACCCAAGATACATCAAATGACAAATTTTGATGATTCTTAGCCAAATAGTACCCGAAAATATTAAATATAGCCATAAAATTTCAAAAGTAGGTCACGGTGACCTACTTTTCAGAGTGAGTTAGTTGAAGCTGCTAAAGATTATATTCTACCAACAAATTCGTTCGAGGACTGAAAACTTCAAATTCCTAAAGCTTCAGGTGAATAGAAGAGCCAGTAACATTGAAACTCTGGACAGAAAAGTCTGGAAAAAGAAAAACGTTTTGGGGAACTTTAAACATTATGCAAACAAATGTCCAAAGGAAGAAAATCTAGTATCTAGGAGCATTATGAGGTGTACATTATGTTCCGGGAAATGTGGATGTATAAGGACAATGGTCTTGGACACTGGAGCATCTATGACGCTATTGCGGGAGGATCTTGTGGATCCAAAATGCGTTTTGCATGGACAAACTACATCATTGGTTAAAGCTATCGGACAGCCATTTGAGGCCAAGTTAGCATTGGTAAGCCTGGAAACACCAATGTTTTAAGGACATATTCAGGTAGGTTAAGTACCTGATCTTGTTGCAGAATTATTGGGAATAGATGTTCTAGAGAGGAACAGAGTCGCAGCTGTGGTTACAAGAGCCCAAGCAAAACAACAAGAACAAAATGAATTAAGTGCCAAAAATTCCATGTATAAATGTGATGTCGAACGAAGGGATTTAAACGACGTGGTAACTAATGGGGAGGCTGGTGAAGTAAACCTTGATTTACCGGAAATTTCATTGGAAGAGTTGACTGCAGTGGATCGAAGCTTCAAAAACAGGACCCAACACTCAAAATTTGTCGGGATAAAGCATTCAAAAATGTATCACAAACTGAGACAGAGCATAAAGCATTTTACTGGGAAAATGACATCTTAAAAGGGAAATGGACCGCCAAGAAAAAGAACATGTCAAGAACGCAGATCGTACTTCCAGCATCGCTCAGAAAAGCTGTGATGAATCTGGCAAATGATCAGTCAATCACTGGACATTTAAGAACTGAGAAGACTAAACAACGTATCCATGCATCATTTTATTGACCTGGATTGTTCCAGGATGTGTTCGACTATTGCACTGAGTGTGACACCTGTAAGAAAGTGGCAAAAAGAAGTGCGGAAAGAGCACCTTTGGTCAAGACACCCATCATATCCGATCCGTTTTCAAAGATCGCAATGGACATTGGCGGCCCTCTTAATAGGACAATTCTAGGTATCAAATACATTCTGACCATCATTGATGAAGCCATGAGATACCCAGAAGCTTTTGCATTACCAAGTTGTGTGGCCGAACGAATAGCCGACACGCTCATTACATTATTTAGTTGAGTTGGAATTCCTAAACCCATTCTCACTGCCCAAGGATCAAATTCACGAGTGCGCTCCTAAAAGATTTATACGAGAAAATTAAAATCAAGGGAATAACTGCAACGCTATATCACCCGCAGACAAATGACAAAGTTGAAAGATTTAATGGAACGTTAAAATCAATGTTGAAGAAATTGTGTATGAAGAATGGTGAAGATTAGGAAGTATTACTTCCCCATGTACAGAGAGGTCCCCATGAGACTGGCTTTTTCACCATTTGAACTGTTGTATGGATGTCCGGTACGTGGTCCTCTTAGTGTTTTAAAGAGTTTCATGACCGGTGAGGAGGAAATAAAAACTTCAGAGATATATTATGTCGTTAACATCCGAAACAAACTAGCAGCTGCTGTGATACGAATGGAGCAAAACAACTTAGAAATGAGGCAGTCGAAAATCAAAAAGTGGTGTGATCGCTCAGCATCCAAGAGGACTTTGCGTCCTGGTGATGAAGTACTCGTTCCACTCCCGACCGAACCTGGCAAGATGTCCGCTCATTGGAAAGGGCTGTTTCGTGTGGTTAACAAGGTAAATGATGTTAACTATAAAACAATGTTGGAGGACGACGTGGACTTGTTACTTATCAATTTACATCCTCCTTATAACCGGGCTACATTGTTGGCAGCAACAGAAAATAAAATTACAGGAATTGAACAGCAATTTCCTAATGACACCACAGAAACCATTTAAGATCTTCTCTTAGGACATAGACTGACACAAGTGCAGAGACAGAATTTAAGGGATGTTTGTCAGAAATTTTCAAGAATTTTCACATCAAAGCCAGGAAAGAGTGATGTTATCTCGCATACAATCAGAACAACGTCTGAGAACCAAGGATACCAGAAGCTAAGAGACAGGTAGTGAAGGAGTCTTTGAATGAGATGTTAGAAAAAGGACTTGTTACACCATCCAAAAGTCCGTGGGCCTCATTTATTGTCCTTGTCAACAAACTAGATGGGACAATAAGAATTTGCGTTGATTCTCGGAAACTGAATGAAATAACTCTCACGAATCCTTATCCCATTCCACACATGAGTAAAATATTTGAGAAAATTGGAAGTGCAAAATATTTGAGTAGATTTATGATCTTTCAAAAGTCTAATGGCAAGTTCTAATGGCAAAGGAAACACTTGAAATTTTATATCTATTTGGATTTAATAAGTGGAATTAAAATGCCGAAGAAACAGGACTTAGAATTAGAACTAGAACTAACTGTACAAAAACAGGAACATGAATTACGTTTAAAAACACTCGAATTAGAACATCAAAAAGAAATTATAGAACTGCGTGTTCGGTTAGAGAACCTCAGAGTCCCTCTGAAGCCTTCGTATAAAACTTTTAAATCGGACAGTCTTACGTTTATACATTAGAAATTTACAAACAGCATATTGATTTAAACTTAAACAAATCTAATTTCTTGTGCTATTAAATCGAAAGAATTAGAATCAATAGAATTAACAGGGCCTGAGAAATTTCTGTTATATATCATTACTATATTTGCAAATTAAATATGAAGGAGATAAATCAATGAACAAACGTCTTCTTCCTGAAAATTTCCCGAGGAAATATCTTAAATTTAGACGGAAATACCCTCTCTTTTACTTTCGATTAGTTATATAAATTTCACAATATCTTTGCCTGTATTCTTTTTTTCGGGTTTAAAGACCATTAAATGACACTGTCCTTAAAGCTGAACACTACTCCTAAAAGGCATTGTCCGCCGTATTTCTATTTCACCAGCGCTATCCCAACAACCCCTATATAAGCCGCAGACCTCTTGACAGTTCAAAGTATTTCGCTGTAGAGGTCTCACCTGAGAAGACGTACATCTTACACTGCCCTGTTACTCGTTCGCGATGGAATTATCAAATTTTACACACTTTTTCCGAGCCAGGAGAAAAGTAACATAAAATGTACAAGTCAATGCATTATTTACAGACAGAAATTGCACATAAAACAAGGAATAAACTAAAAAAAAAAATCTAAGACCACGAAAGGAATACTACATGTCGGCCACGAGTTTCAAGTGTGCAATCGGGTGTAACGAAATCGAAGGGTTTATATACCTGTCTGACGGTGCCTATTTATGAGTAGTGTTCAGCTTTAATTGTTGATTATGTTAATAATAATTGTTTATATATATGAACTGTATTTATTATTACATATAGGTCAGGCTTTTGTAATTCCCCCTTTGGTAGCTCTCTTTGTACTCTGTTATTTTTAGACTAAGGGTGCAACGATAAACCGTTTGACGGTATATCGCGGTATATTTTTCCACGGTTCAATTCACGATACGCTAAACTGATATCGCGGTTCGGTTCAATCGGTCCAGAATTATCCGAATCGTCCGTTTTGTTTCCTTTTTTACAATTTCAAAATGGCTCCCGCGCAAAACCACGTGAGGTCGCCGATAAGGCATTAACGGAAGTTAAACTCATCTCCACCATCTTACAGACCTCAGATTTAACACGGAGAAGGACTGAATGTGGTTATAAGTTAAGATGTTAAGACAAATGATAAACCCTTTAGATCTAAACGTATTCTTTGGTAATACACGATATTTCATCACCTGTGCATTTCGATGAAATTCACTGTCTTGTTGACTAAAACGTGTTAACACGAGAAATATGACAAATGGTTTTCTACGTAAATAAAATGGATAAAAGAATGAATGTCTTCCTTTTTCATTCCAATTTAAAAGGAAGATTATTAGGAAAGGTCCCGTAGTTCCCTGTAAATGTTCATCATTGGTTTAGAAAATTGTCAAAACTCAAAGATCTACCTAACAATCCAATTCAAGTTAACAAAATTTTATTTTAATTATTATTAAAAAAATATGAACATTTTATATAACCCTGTCAAGTTAAAAAAAAAATACAAACTTGGAAGACTTTTTAACCTTGTCATGTATCATGATACGTATCGTATCGTGAACTGAATACCGTGATACGTATCGTATCGTGAGGTTAGTGTATCGTTGCACCCCTATTTTAGACAGCCTCGCTTTCAGTTTACCTTCAGCATCAGTAGCCATTGTTTTGTTGTCAGATATTATCTAAATCAATTGCCATCCTTTCCTAATGGATTTATATAACGTATCGATTTTACAATTCAAACATACTTGGAATTGTATTTAATCATATGCGTATGTTAGTAACAATCCTTACAATCTTTATATCGTGTTATTCAAGTTTTTAACTTTGAACAATGACCACGGGTCGTAGGTCACGATCGAGATCTACATTCTTACAATCGGAAGATGCGGATAATCCTTCAAATTGGACTGTAGCGGTTTTAAAACAGAAATTATCGGATCTTGTAATTGGTATTAATGTGTCACTTTCACACAGTGCGCTAAAGAGAATTTACTTGGACAATATCGGAAATAATGCAAATAGTACAAACACTGCTGCTATGTCTATCGGATCAGCAGTTACTCCCGCTCCTCGCAATGCCGATTTATTGGCTAGAAATGCAGTAGGATCTCCAACTAGTGTGCCGAGTCCCATTCTAAATTCTGTGCAGCAAGTAATGCGAATGGATCCAACTCGGAATTCTCTAGGCAATCCGGTGCTAGCATGATATTACCCACCTCAACCGTGCTGCCGGCAACAACAACAATGGCCGCCGAATGCCAAGCACAAAACGTTCTTCTTTCAACATTGCAGCTATGTCAACAAGCTATCTCCAGTTTAAGAAACACCATGAACAAAACTACAGAAGCAAAACAGTTAAATTTAAGTACGGCAATGTCAACATCTGAGGCAGGAACTCCCTCCTCTCAGATTTCAGCCGTGGATTTAGTGTCATCGGAAATTCGAGCTGACATAGTTGCAGGTAAGGACGTAAACTTAAACGTTTTACTTATCCCAAATTATACAACACCAACCAACAAGAAAATTAAAGAGAACGACGAAAGATTAATCAGAAATCTGACCCTGGACGAATTTATTGTTGCGTTTGGTAGATACAAAAGAATAATGTGCAGCGCTTATCCCAATAGAACAGATGAACTAGATGCATATTTAGCTCATATTATAGAAACAGCAAATATCTGGCCAGAACACTTTACGAATATCATCAAATTTCCTTAAACAAATGTGCATCATTGCTGTTGCAAAATAACATCAAGGTTGATTGGTCAAAAGGAGATTATGAACATAGAACATTAGTGTGTGCAGGCTCTCCCGTTTAATCTTGCGACTTTTGTCATTCTAAAATACACAGCTCCCTCATGTGTCCACAAAGGTCCTTCAGACGTAGTCAAAGTACAAGACAGCCTATGACATCTCGTTCAACTCGACAGGCAGTTGACATACACGGGCGTGACGTTAAATTCTATGAAGGTGAACAGATTTGCAACAATTTCAATGCTACTAAAGGTTGCACCAAACCTTATTGCTGATATTTACATGTCTGTAAATCATGCAAGTCCAACCACTCTAGAGTAGAATGCCAACAAACTAAGACTGATACAAACAAGAGGCCCAAGGGCCTTAACGGTCACCTGAGTATGATACAATAATTTGCATTATGCATAGAGTATAAAATGAACTGAAAGGTGAAGCTTTGTTGCCCAATAGAAAAATAAATAGGGTGATCATGATCAACAACATAATTAAGGTCTTCCGTTTCCAACGGAAGACCTTCTACTGATTCTGATGGTTAAGATTATTCTTATTATTCTTTTTTTTTTTTCCTAGACGCCAACTTTGAAGCTTCATATCTTCCTCATTTCTGAACGGATTTTGTTCAAATTTTCAGAGCTTTTAGACTTTACAAAACACTCTCAGAATACTGTAATACAATTCGGAAATTACCTTCTGTTCACGAGTTATTCCCCTTTGATTGAAATTTTTATGCCTCTGGTTTCCAGACAAAGGCTCTGAGACCGTAATAATTGGAGCACAAAACCCTTTGAATTTGAAAAGAAGAAGCATTGAAGTTGTGCACATCGGTTTTTGTTTTTTGATTTTTGCATTAAAAATGGCGCTAGAGAGGGGTCAAAAGTTAGAACGCGAAAAAGAGCAAAAACATTGACATATTTTCCTTTATATCTTTAAAACTAAAAATATTTTGTTAAAACATGTATAATAAAAGTTGTTCATAATAGCAAGAGCTTTCATTTGATATCATTAAAAAGGGGCTGGCCCCTAAAATTAGGGATCTAGAGCCCTTGAAAGTTTTCGCTTTATAACTCAAAAACGGTAAATATTTCGATATGGCTTTCGGAATTAAAGTTGTTCTTTAACACCTTATTGATCTCATACAAATGTTGTTTTGTTCGAGTATTGCGTAATATGTCGTAATATGTAGGTCCCGTAAACAGGTAAGCGTTTTCATTCGGCAAGTAAATCAGAACTCTTCATGTGTGTAACTTTAACAAACTTGCAATAAATTATATACCCTACTGTATTTAATGCTAATTTTCTTCTAAATAAGGTTTTAAACGTGTTCTGTGGTTCACTCATAAATTATTTTTTACAACTTTCTTTTCTTTTTTAATTTAGATTTAAAGGGAACACGTCTTCAAATAAAGGAAGGAATTAAATGTATTTATATAACTATATAAGTAATATTAAACTTTAAGCATCGAATAAATAATGATCATTATCTGTACGCATTTTACCAGTTTATGTTCTCCATGTTCACCTCGATGTTTATTGTTATGTAACGCAACCTGCGATCCCACGTTGCCGAGGTCACCAGTGTACCAGCCACCTGCGGTCATAGGCCATGTAAACAAAACAAACATCTGAGAAGACAAATCCGTTGTGTAGAAACAACGATTAATGAAACATTATGGTTTTTTTTATGGAATCTTTAAGATAACTTAATCTCATCTTTGATTTAATCTTAATTCTAAACACTAGTGCATAAAATCATTACGAATTTTAATCGCTTTCACCGACCTGGTCACTGTCGACAGAACAATACGATTTAAAAAAGAAACAAACAATTTATTTCTCTATCCCATGTTATTGTATTCTATTTCAATTGTAATTGAAAAGGTGCTACGGCAAAGAATTGCAATTACTGATGGAAATATTAAGTATTAAAGCAATATAAGCTGTCAGCGGCGGCAATTTTTTTTTAATCACGAATGTAGCACGAAAACATTTTATCGATCTGAAATTTAAAATTATAGACTAAATTTGAACTCATTGAAGGTCTAAAATAAGTCGAAAAAGAGAAAAAGAGCTGTTCATGAATTTTTGTCTTGCAAGACAATATTTCCCCGACGTAGTCAGAAATATGCAAGTGACCTCTGGGTCAAACGCTCGGAGACTGATGTTCGTACTGATGTACGCATGTGCAGCTTGTCGGAGATGCAGAGCAAAGATGTCGGGAAAACGTGGTGCGAAGATTAAATTAACGGATTCGGCAAGAAAAAGGACTAAAAGGGAAGCGAATGCTAGGTTAAACAAAAACAAAATATATATTGGAGATCAATACGATCGTTGGACGGAGCTGCGGACAAAATTATCCGTGAAAACAAATATCGAAGTTGCAAAGATTCTGCTTGACAAGTAAGTGTGTACAAGTTTAATTATAGCCAATTTAATGCAAGATACTAGTATAAATGATTGGAGAAAACTCTTAGTACCTTACTTGACTTGTAAGCATCATATCTTATTCAGCCGATGTTAGTTTTTTGTTGTAATATACAACAAATAAGTATCTTCGTAAGCCAGTTGATAGCGTAAATATTGTGAGGCACGGAAAGGGTAAATAACCAAACTCTGTTAAACGTTTAGATAACTATACAAGATATTTATATAATTATGTTAAACGTTTAGATTTCATTGTTCTAGCTATGAAGCTAAGGATGAGCAAAAATATACAAGTGTTCCTGCTGGAAAAAACTTCAAACCCTGTGTTACATCAACGCCTGGTCCACCAGCTTTGAAGAAAATATGTATTGTTCAGTCTGATTTGTCTGACATTTCACCAAATGAAGTGGGAAAAGAGTAAATATCCAAGCTTGTTTTACATTTGCAAAATTTTGAGAAGTATTTGTGTCAATTTTTGAATACATATATAATTACCAAAAACATTCTAAATGAAGTTTTGAAATTATTATCATTATTATTATGTAGAAAATTTACTTTTAAAAAGAAAATTTAAATAATATTTTCAGTGTTGAAAGTGCTATGTCTGGCATTGAGGAAATTGCAGAACCTACAGATCCAAGGACTAAGACCTTTAAGCCATTTTCAGACAGTTTTGTGGATCCTTTTAGGTTTGACAACATTGCTCTTTTGTCACACATATTAAAAATGTTTCTTTCTAAGGCCAATAAAAATTAATTTGTTTGATGTACTCCGACTGACCTGTCAAAATTGCCCTTACCCTATCTTTTCCCCAGTACTTTAAATTTTAAATGTTTTTTTTTTTTTTTTGGGGGGGGGGGGTCAAGGGAAATAGACATTGTTTCATTTTAAAGGTTTATAATTCTCTAAGATACTTTTTAGCTCACCTGAGCTTTTCTGATCGAAATTTGTCCATTGTCTGTTGTTGTTGGCGTTGGTATCGTAAACTTTTCACATGTTCATCTTCTTCTCAAGAACCAGTGGGCCAATTTCAACCAAACTTGCCACAAAGTATCCTTGGGTAAAGGGGATTCAAATTAAAGGCGACCCTCTTTTCCAAGGGGAGATAATTATGAATTCGTGAAAAATTAATGGCATCATTTAAAATTCTTCTTCTCAAGAACCACTGTGCTTGAAAACATGAAACTTAAATGGAAGCATCCTCAGATAGTGTAGATTCAAGTTTGTTCAAATCATGACCCCCGGGGGTAGGGTGGGGCAACAATGGGTAGTCAAAGTTTTACATAGGAATATATTGGGAAAATCTCTAAAAATCTTCTTCTCAAGAACAGCAAAACCATGATTGGTCATAATTATATGGAAGCATCCTTAGGTAGTGTAGATTCAAGTTTGTTCAAATTATGACCCCCAGGAAAATACAGGGGCATATTTGTCATATTAATTCATAAGCATCCATATGAAGTACACCCCCCCCCCCCCGAACCACTTTTATATTTAAACTTTTCAGGACTGAATTGATTTCTGCTGTTTCCTAGCCAGAGTGCTCAGGTGAGCGATGTGGCCCCAGTGCCTCTTGTTTGAAATAACATTTTTATAGCAATAAATATTAAATCTGTCTTATCCGGTGTATCATGAAAGCATCAATAAATCTTAAGTTTATGCTTTTTATGACAGTAATTGATGTTAGCTATAGATACTGCAAAAAAAAACAAACAAACAAACAAACAAAACACCTACTTACATTCCCACCTTGAAAAATGTAAGTCGGAGTACATAAAAAAATATATTGTTATTATTAGTGATGGCCTAAATACGTCATGTATTATTTTAGCATGAATGATTTTGATATATGCATTTTTATTAGATTGACAATGAGTGCCTCTGAACTGACATGCGAAGAAAATGACTCTTCTGATGATGAAGAATATGAGCCAAGTTTCCACCTGTCTTTAAAGTAATTTTTATTAGAATTATTATTTACTTAGTAATATAAAATTTAATTAAAAGAGGTTAAATATGTTTAATCATTGTAAATATTTCAGATAGCATGAAACATACTAATGGGAAAAATTATTGGTAATTGGTTCATTAAACTGTAATAACATAAATTTTATAATTTTGTTATGTTTTTTTTATTCTCTCTATAGACTTGACCATGGTGTGACGCTAGATGAGTCGGATTCAGAAGAGATTGAGGACGATGAAGAAAAATTTGTAGAACATGCTGAGTATAGTTGTCTACCAGTTATACGCAACAATGATGAAATTGAACAACTGGTCCAT